TCATGCGCCTCAAATCACTGTTTTACAATACATTTTCTTCCTTAAAATGTATAATTACTAAAATCTACGAGAGATGAGAAAGAAAAGAGTAACAAAATATGCTTTATATTATGTCTGTTCCACAGCAGACTATTACAATTCACAGTCTCTGTTTAGCACTGAATTTCTGACAGGGAGAACTGATTTAATGTTGTTGCCTGAGTGATTATCTGCGCTATTGTAGGGGCCAATTAACATTTAACATTGGGACAACGCTACATAAGTTTGAGAGTGATACATAGTTACCGTTTGTCTTTGAGGTCGATGTTTTCCGAGCCATTAAAACTGATGTTGGCCTTTAACAGGAGTGAGAGATAGGACACATACGCTCTCTCAGACTCCAACAGCTCCAGTGCTGCAGTCTGCCTCTGAGCTGAAAAAAGGCATGATTTTAAAACTGGTCATTTATTTTTCAGTTCTTTTCACTTAAATTATTATGACAAATGAAAAATAAAAGCATTTTCACTTTTATTCTGCTACATATCACTCACTTATAGTTGAGTTATTTTGTTCTTTCAAATCTCTGCTGTTTTTTCTCTCCCTCCACACTGGAGACTTCTTTTGACCGTCATGCTCAGGACAAGAGTCTAACCGCAAAAACACAATCTATTGTCATCTTATACACTACCACGCTATCATTTCCACACTTGTGTTTATAGTACAGAACAAGTTCTAAATTGTAATACTCACTCTGATTAGCTGACAGGCTGCTTATGTAATGCTGAATGAGACTGAGTTCTGTTTGGCTGTTTAGAGAGGCGTGGCCATCCACTGATCCCTCCCCCCTTGAGCCTTTCCTATCAATAATACCACGTTTATATATTTTGATTTTACATTTACATTTAGTCGTTTACCAGACGCTTTTATCCAAAGCGACTTACAAATGAGGACAATAGAAGCAATCAAAATCAACAAAAGAGCAATAATATGCAAGTGCTATGACAAGTCTCGGTTAGCCTAACGCAGTACACATAGCAAGGTTTTTTTTTATGAAATTTATATAATTAATAAAATGAAAACAAGTAGATAGAATAGAAATGAAAGAATAGAGAAAGCTAGTTTTAGAGGCCTTTTTTTAAAAAAGAAAACAAGCAGTTAGAAAACTAAAACAGACTGAATCCCAAGTGTGTTAAATTGGGTCTAATGTTCAATACACTATACCATAAATTGTAAAAAGAAAAAAAAAAGCAATTTTGTAGCTACAGTATATCACCTGTGTTGTGTGCTCTGCATGAGGTCCAGGTCCCTCTGCAGGTCTTTTTGGTTACTCCTAACCTCAGAGAGCTGCGTTAGAGCTGTGCTTATGTCTTCCTGCATACGCATACACAATAAAAAAAAGGAAAATACACAATGTCATCAAAATATAAGCAACATTTCAAAATGACAATGCATGGAAAAAATACAATTTCAAAAACCTGAATTCTAGAAAATAACTGCAATATTATATTTTAACATTATTAGAATTGTTTAGCTCAAGAAATATTTCATATTATTATCAATGTTGAAAACAGTTGTGGAAACTGTGATCTTTTTTCATGATTCTTTGATGAATAGAAATTTCAAAAGTCTTTTCTGATGAGTTTAATGCATCCTGAGAATTGTTTTTTTAAATCCTACTGACCCCACACTATTAAACGATTGTGTATATTATTTAAATTAAATTTTTTATCCACTCATTATATATCACATAATATAACTGTTAGAACCTGTAATGTGTTAAGTGTGTTTCTGAGAGACAGGATCTTTTCATTAGTTTCTTGTTGATAGGTAGAGACTTTCTCCTCCAGTCGGCTGTAGGTTTGCCATAGGGTGGCAAAATCTTCAACCACACTTCCAACTCCTAATTTTAGCTCCACCCACATCGCCTGCAACTGAAGCAACAAGTCAGAGGTCACCAATACTCAATAAGAGACAAACCCAGATAGAGAGATGAAGGTTAAGCAGGAGGACAGGAGCTTCAGATCAGTCTCAATAGCATTAGGGAGGGTCAAGCTAAATGTGGCCTGAGTTCTGTCACACTCTTCCTATTAGCAATTCATTGTCTCAATTACTTTTATTTTCTTAACAGCAGTAATCTGTGCGGGTGTGTGTGATTTGAATTAGAGATTAATGAAACAGTGAATTTAAAACAGAAAGCCTATTTTGTTGTAAACACACACACATCAAAGTATACAAAATCATGAGAAAGCTATCACAAACTGGAAGTGAGTAAAAGAGAGGGCAATTTAGATTACCTGAAGGTCTATGGCATCTATGTCATCATTACCTGTACCTGCAAAACCACACAAAAACATAATTTCATGCAGAAATACAGACTTTATCACACAAAAGTTGACAGAAACATGCACCTAAAAGAAAGCTTTCCAAAAAGTCATCCATTGAACTCTTCACTTAAAGTAGACTTCACTGTTAATGACCAATTAATCTTTTTTTTTTTTTTAAAGCATTACGGAAGATCAAAAAATTTTTGCAGATTGATAATCAAAGTTGGTTTACCCTCTATTTTGCCATTCTCCATGATCCGATGTTCTTCCAGGTCCAAATCCAGGACTGTCGTTTCAGATCCTCTGTGGTTTGGATCCTTTCTAGTAGAGTTTCTTTGCTCAAACTGATTAACTTTAAAAGCCAATGAAATGTCACACTTCTATGTTTTGATATAGTTAAAAATGACAGAAGATGCTCTCTGATTCTGTGACTTTGTCTTTCTATCACTTGTCTTTCTCTCTCTCTCATCTGTCCCACCTATCTCTTCCCCTCCTCTTTGAAACATGTGAGTCTGATGAAGTCGAGGACAAAAAGAGGCCTTGTTTTACAGTAAGTGGATGGATGAAGGAAGAGAGAGAGAACGATAGGGACGTCTGTTAGCATTTTTATGGTTCAGAATCAGACGATTAAATTTCCTCTTCAACCTTTAAGACCAATTTTCCATTTTACAATGAGCTCTGTATGAGCTCTGGAAAGGATCCACTAGGCATATGAACAGAAACACCCACAAAATTATTGTCATAAACTCAAAAGTGAACATTGAGTCATACCTAATTTAATTGAGGTATAACAATGAAACAAATAAAACACCCTCAAGAAGTTATTCAGTTTCAAATGTAATCACGCACTGGAGCTTCAGGTTAATTTGAAGCAGATTTAGAAGTGAACTGAAGGGTGGTAGATCTCCAGTTGAGCTCTTGATCCACAGTAAACACGTTCTCACTCCAGAGGACAGGAAATTGAGCCTTACGGTCTTACACAACTCCTGACTTCTCATCGCAGTCATGAGCTCTGCTGCTGTGCGTGCTCGTGTATTTTGGAGATGCGCTCCACCAATGGCTGAACCGTACACAGAGAATCACATTCCTTTCACCCTTTGCACTAAAACAAAGTAGTGATTCTTTCAGAAGTGCAGTGTGTGGGAACATGTGTTATTGATGTTCAGTGGATGCTGCTGGAACTGAAGTTATTTCATTGGATCTCATCAGTGCCTCAGGGCTGCTAGCTGTGGTAATGCATCACTGTGTATCTAAGATCTCTTTCAATAGTTTCACGGGTGGTTATTCTTTCAACTTCAAGTTGACTCAGATGCTTGCTTCATAATCTTGATAAAATGCTCAAATTGTACTATCACTATTTAAAAATTCAGTGCTTCAGAATATGTTTTGAAGTTCAGTTTGGTCTAGTGATTGGCTACTTAACAATAGAGCACTTACTGAATGCCATCTAATAAAGAAAAAGAACAGAAAATGTTTTTCTGTATACATTTAAATGGTGTGTGTTTGTGTGCAAGTCACACGTTGACTTTGAGCTTCAGTCCCAGTGCGGCTTTGTTATGAAACTTCCCCCTCCACACAAGTCCTTGTGAATCTGTGAACTCCCCTTCACCTTCAAATCTGCAAAAACAAATTTATGTTCTGACAATTAAGCCTTCCTTATGACAATATTGCCAATTCCTGCTTTGCATATGTTTGCAGGACTGATTATACTGTATCACCTGTTGTTGTTAAAAGTTCCTGTGTATTTTGTCCCATCAGGAAATCGATAAGTTCCTTTGCCATGATACATGTTGTCTCTGAACAGGCCGCTGTAAAACGCCCCTGAAGGGTGTGTGAGAGTTCCTCTGCCATTCATCTACAGGCCACATAACACCAGCAACCAAGACATAATTACAAAAAGCATATTAAGAGAAGTAATATATTTATCCAAGGTAGTTGTCACATGCCTAAATTTACATTTCATCTAATTTGTTGCATAATGCACTCAAAACTGAGATAAAAGCATGAATAATTCAGTGTTAGCCTATGAAAGGAGATCAGATGAGTCACTGACCTTGACAGCTTTAGTGCACATGTGACTAAAGTTGGACTTACTTCAATATTGTAATTATTATTTTTTTTTAAATCCCACACACACCTTATCATTGTCCCATTCTCCAGTGTATGTAACTCCAGAGGCTGATGTCTGTGTGCCAGACCCTTTCCTTATCACCACACCATCTGAAGTACGACAGCATTCGCCCTCTAAACACAAACACACAAGTACACACCTTTAATGGGCTTAAATAAAATAAAAGATAACATTCACAGACACGTTTAAAGCTGTCAGCTAACTCACCATATTTGTCTCCATTTGGAAAAATGTAAGAGATTTTAAGAGTTGTAGTCTCTGCAACAAAGAGCAGCAAAGTTAAATCAGGCTTTTATATCTTGAAGTGACAGCCAAAAAGAGAAAAGAAACGTAAGTTTAAGTTGTTCAACAAGTAACAAGTATTTATATTTAGAATGTATATTCTAAATTATAGAAATAATTGTTATGAACATATTTACCAGACATGATGCTGTATTTATTTGGTTATAGTAAAAGCGTTACTAAAAACTATTTACATCACGTCATTCAGGAAAGCATATCTCCATAGCAACGACGCAACAACTCTGCTTCGTCTGATTGTTTTTGAGTCATGTGCTGTCTGTACTGCCATCTGGTGAACGTGCCACTGATCTAGCGCGCTCTGCCGACCCGGAAGTTATTCCAGTGGGTGTCCAGCGTGTGTGTGGCGAGGCAGCTGCGCGTTAACGTGAGTAAGGTAATGTACATATTTTCCACTTACGCTTTACAAACTTTACAACTTGTTGAAAGTGGTCATACTGCGAGATGGAAAGCATGTTAACGTTAAACATGTTTTGGCAGGATGTTTTTTTTTTATTGAATATAATTGATTTCTGTTTACGGTTCTTTTTGAGTCACACCACCAGTGTCATACTAACTAATTTTCTCTTTCAGACGTTTTAAAAGAGACCCCATTTCGCAGGTTTTAAACTGGAGATTTACTTTTATCTGGTTTTACATGTTATAATGTGCGATTTGACAGCTCAGCTTTTCTGTTGACAGATTAAGGGAAAGTTCAGACGGCAGACTTTAGTTGTGATGTCATTACATCTTTTAGTGCATGTTGTCTTTTGGGGAAGTTGAAGACCTTCATTTATATTTAAGTTCAAAACGGGTCCACAAACTCTCTTCAAATATGTGAAAACTAGTTTCTCCTCTTGTTTTTAGATCATGGGAAAGTCCAAACAGGTTGGAAAGCACAGTAAAGGCAGGAAGAAGAACATTTCCAAGACATGGAAGACTAAGCGCAGGACGAAGGACCTTGACCAGATCCATGCAGACATGATCCCTGCAAATGCTGTCAAGTTACTAAAGCAAGATGTAGATTTTGATGTTACAGGATGTGCTCAGCATTACTGTCTGCACTGCGCGTAAGTCACACCTGACCTCACCACCCCAATGACACACCACTTTTTTTTTTAAACTGTTTGTATTTTTTTATTTTTAGCTTTTTAAAATATTCAGCTTTTCATTTGAATTTTTTCCTTCCTTTTCTAAAGGAGATATTTTGTCAATTTGAAAACACTGAAGGAGCATTTCAAATCCAAACCTCATAAAAAACGGTGAGTCGGATTTAAAAAAATCGTTTTCTCTTTTCTCTTAATGTTGAATCTTTGGATCATACAGTTTTATGCAAAAGTTTGGGCACCCCTGATAATTATCATAATTTTAATTTATAATCTGCTGGGTTTTCAAAGCAGCAACTTGATTTGGATATATTTTATACCTTATAGAGACAGTAACATTTCAGTTCTGAAATAAACAATTTTGAATCAACAAAAACAATGCAATGTGAATCATAACAAAAACACACAGGTGCAAATAATTTAGGCACCCCAATGAAATAATGGCATCAATATTTAGTAGAGCCACCTTTTGCTGAAATAACAGCCTGTAGACACTTCTTATAGCCACTGACAAGGCCCTGAATTCTGTCTGAATTGTATTTTGAACCATTCTTCCTTGCAAAATGTCACTAGTTCAGTCAGGTTTGATGGCTGCCGAGCATGAACAGCCAGCTTCAAATCATTCCATAGATTTTCGATGATGTTCAAGTCTGGGGACTTGGATTGCCATTCTGGAACATTGCATCTGTGTCTGTGCATGAACTCCTTGGTAGATTTGGAACGATGCTTTGAGTCATTGTCCTACTGAAATAAATAACCCCGGCATAACTTCAACCTCTTGGCTGATTCTTGAACATTATTCTTGAGAATCTGCCGATACTGGGTGGAATCCATGCAACCCTCAACTCTGACAAGGTTTCCAGTACCTGTGCCTGCCACACAGCCCCACAGCATGATGGACCGTCCACCAAATTTTACAGCAAGGAGCAGGTTCTTCTCCTGGAACGCTGTGTTGTTTTTCCGCCATGCAAATTCCTCTTGTTGTGACCAAATAACTTAGTTTCATCTGTCCACAGCACATTATTCCAAAATAATTCAGGTTTGTCCAGATGAGCCTTTGCATACCTCAAATGACTCTGCTTGTTGGCACTGGCAGTACGCAGAAAAGCCTTTTTCCGCATCACCCTTCCATTGAGCTGTTCCTTGTGCAAAGTGCGCTGGACTGTGGAACGATGTGCAATGACATTATCAGGAACAAGATGTTCTTGGAGCTCTTTGGAGGTGGTCTGTGACCATTCTAACCATTCTTTTCTGCTGCCTTTCAGATATTTTTTTGGCCTAACTCATCTTTCTTTCAAAAGGACCGTTCCTGTCACCTTTCATGTTCTAACTATATTTCTGACTGTGGAGGCAAAGACCTTAAACCTTTGTGATATTCTTTTTGTATAATTCTAATTCAAATTGATGAATTATCCTAGTTTTTAGGTCATTAGAGGTTCCTATGTTGTTACTTTTAAGTGGAGAAAAGAAAAGCTAGCAATTAGCTACCTTAAACATAATTTTTCATGATTGTTTGCACGTGATTTTGCAGTGTTAAGGTTCATTGAGCTAATCAAATCAATATCATGTTGTAATTAATCAGCAATAAGAGACTACAGGTATTAAATCAACACAATTGAAAGGGTGCCCAAACTTTTGCACAACCCATTGTTTACATTCATCTTTATTCCATACAACTCAATACTGCAACACTAAGAATTTATGTCTGAAAAACATCACATTATGCTGCTTTCTCTAGAAACTGAATGGAATATCACTACGATCTTTTCTTATAAATAAAGAGCAAATTATTATCCAGCCTCAGAGGGGTGCCCAAACTTTTGCATAACACTGTATATAAAATACATTACCTGCATAAATGCAAAAAAAAATGTCTGGGTTTTCCATGTGTTTTTAAAATTATCATCATTTTAAAAGCTTTTTTTCTGTATTTTAGATTGAAGCAGCTGAGGGAAGAGCCGTATACACAGGCCGAGGCAGAGCGGGCAGCAGGAATGGGCTCCTACATCCCACCCAAAACTGTAGAGGTTCACACACAGCAGGTCGAGGAAGATATGGACTGAAAGAGCACTTTGGTCTGCCTCTCTGTGGACTCTTGCTCCTCTGGACTCAGAGCAACAATTTGACCTGTTTCAGAGCTGAAATTAGTTTATGGAGATGGAAAGTAAGTTGAAAAATATTAAATGAATTGATATTATTTTGATGAATGTTCAATGACAATTCTCTGTAAATTCAGACTTGTTTGATTTTGGAGAAGTCCTGGAACAGCTGGCTACAGTTTCATACTTGTTGTGAAATTAAATTAGTAAAGTTTGCTTACAACAAGCAACCTTCTGGGACTGAACACAATGTTCATTATGTATGTGAATATAAACTCAGCAAAAAAGAAACGTGTCCTCTTTTTACTATTATTTCCAGCAAATTTCTTAATGTGTAAATATTTGTATGAACATAAAAAGTTCAACAAGTGAGTCAAACTAACTGACGAAAAGAGACGGAATAATGAGTTCCTGAACAAAGGGGGTGGGGGGATGGGAGTCAATATTAAAAGTCAAATTGAGTATTTTGTATAACCACCAGCTGCTTTTAAGTACTACAGTGCATCGCATCCTCGTGGACTGTAGATTTAAAAGTTCTTGCTATAAGTTGTTACCGCACTCTTCCACCAAGAAACTTGCAAGTTCTCGAACATGTCGGCGTGGACACATGGTTACACATGGTTTGACAAGATAAGCTGTCCTTCCTGTAGCACTGCTGTAGGCCTCTTACATTATGGACATTGCAGTTTATTGCTCTGGCCACATCTGCAGTCCTCATGCCTCCCTGCAACAGGACTATGGCATGTTCATGTAGGTGATCAGGGACCCTGGGCATCTTCTGGTGTTTTTCGAATCAGTAGAAAGGTCTCTTTAATGTCCTAAGGTATTGTAACTGTGGCTTTAATCGCCTGTGAACTGAAGTGTCTTATGGCCTTTTCCACAGGAGCATGTGCAATACTTGTTTATGGTTCAATGAACAAGTATAAAGAATATTGTTTAAACCCATTCTTATCTGTAAGGATCTGTAAAGCTTATTTGGATTTTACAAAATCATCTTTAAAATACAGTATCCCGAATAAGTGTGTGTGTGTTTGTGTGTGTGTCATGGGAAAAACATGGAAATGTATTGATTAAAGAGTGTGGGACCCTCAATTATGGTTTTATGCTTGGAATTACAACAGTTGTAATTTACAGATCCTTTTCCTTACTTGTCCTTTATTCATCATTTCCTAATCTTTAATAATATTATTGACTTAATTCTTCCGTTCTCACTTAATATTAAAGTCACCATGAAATCAAAATTGAACATTCTTATTTTTTAATGGAATACTGTAGTGTTTATTATAAATAATTTATCCGTGCACTTCATTATTATTTTTTTAATTCATGTGCCCTCGTAATCTTTAATCAAAAACTTAACCTCCCCTCCCCCTCAAAACGACTCCTCTACTCTTCCGGTCACGAGCTATGGCGCAAGGGCGGAGCTAGTGACGTGAGGGGTAAACGCTGGGATAAACGACAGGGGGAAAAGCTGAAGCTGATGCTTCACTTTATAGCACTGATGCCAGTCATGAGGGAGTACATTACCCCTAAACATTGAAAAGATATTAGGATATTACGACAACATTACTCTTAGGACATCGCAAACTAATTTTTTTCATGAATATGACTTAACCTGATGGAGGACGCGCTCAGTCATTCAGGCAGTCTCTCTCTCGCACTGTTTAGGCATGTTTTGTGCTGTTGATCGTCGTCGTCATCCTTAATAAATAACAATAAAAAACATTTATCCATGCTTGGGTGTCAGCTGTGAATCCAGTGGAGAGAAATCCCCCAACACTAACTGCAAACTGGCATTCAGATCTGCCTCCATTTTGTTTGCAACGCCCCAGCTTCCAACGATCCAATCAATTCCCGAAGGACGAAATCAAGTCCCGCCCTCTCATTTCAGATGACGTTTCACTCGGATATACGTCACAGTAGAGAAGAAAAGACAATGTATCATTCACTTTAACAGAAATAATTGTACAACAACTCTACACGCCTTGTCTGCCTGTGGTTGAAATGTTCTTTTCGTGGACTTAACACATATTTAACTGTATTAGCACGAAGGACAAAAAGACAGATCCAGTACATTCTTTGGCCCCTAAACGTGTAATTACGGTCGTACATTATAAGCCGTTTCAAAACCTACTTGGCTGCCTAGCTAGACAGCATTTTGGCCAACTTAGGCACGTTCCGAATGTTGCCTAGACAGGCAGCTCACTAGATTTGAACAAACGCCCATCGAGTTCAAAGGCATGAATGTGCGCACTGGCCCTTTAAGAGCGACAGACATGATCCACAAGCAGGAGAAGCAGGAGTGATTTCCTCTTGCGCCGCTACGATGTAACGGCTCACCGGAGACGAGCCCATGACTACAGAGTGACTTCACTTAAGAGTTTTTATATCACCCAGGGCTATTTGTGTGGCCCAGTAGTGATTTACAGAGCAGATAGAGACGTTTATTAGAGGATGGCCGCAGACGTGGATAAAACTCGTGCCGGAGAGCCAAAGGATGATCATGATGAAGATCGCGCGACTCCATCCAGCAGACGCGCCCGCTCACGTTTCAAGCAACTCTCCAGTTTATTGCTAATCGCTGCTGTTCCTTTCTTCGGCTTTTGCATTAAATATTACCAGGACACCCAGCTTGTGAAACGACATGTAAGTTAATACCAGTTTGGTCAGAATTTCATTTCAGTTTGACCCGTGAAGGAGGGTTGCTTTTCAGAGCCATGAGAGATACTGCAGCTGTTCAAGCCACATGTAGTCCTTGCAGTTGGTTAAAATGCAATAAGTTTTAGTTTTAAACATTGCTCTTCTAAGATAATTTTTTTTAACTGTCTTTGCGACGTCTTTTTTTTGTTATGTGGGAACAGTAAACTTACATCTGGTGCTCCAGCTGCCCGCTGTTTTATTAGGGTTGGATAGTTGCCACAGCTGGGCAAGACTGTTAGAACAACCCCCCTCTTTCTCATATATCTGTTACTTCTGTGTCGCTTCCTATATTAACCAGTTTTTCCAGGCTGCCGTCCTACTCAGACTGATAATAGGGCCAGACACAACATCAAAGTTATGTCAGGAATTCAGTTAAAAATAAACCGACGTAGACATCATTGTGTCCCGTTGCCTTGGGGCAAGTATTCTGTTGTCCTTTCTAGTGTACAACTCATTCTTTTGAGTCGAATCTTTGGAATGAATCCATTGAACCGGTTCACATAACCTATCTGAATGATTCGTTCACGAATTGGACTGAATCAGAGTAGTTCTGGGCTGTGTTCCACTCCACTTTTAGACACGCACTCGCGAACTTCCCTAAGCACTTCCCCTCGGGGGAATCCCCGCTGCCATTTGTGGGCACTCATGCAACGTAATCAATGACGTACATCCGAGTAAACGAGACGGAGGGAAGATTGCGAGTGAAGGGCATAAAAAAACGGACTGGAACGCAGCCCTGAAGTCAGCAAGCCACTTTGAACCTAGAATCGCCTCTTCCGAACATGTGTGATTCGTAATTAGCCGAGAACTGAAGAGTAAACGAGTAGAAAAAAAATTAAAGCAGATTATTTTTTATAAGAAGAATAGCAGAAATGGTAAAAATTAAAAGTACTAAAATCTTGTAGTTTTTATGAAAGTTAGTAAATAGCAATTTCACTAAACCATACAAATATATTTATTCAATAAACACAAAAACATAATAAATAGCATTTTATTAAAGCAGTTATTTTACCTCATGATGTATTTGTTATTCTGTGGTCCTTGACATTTTTAATATTTAATAAAATGCCACAATGTCAGGGAACATGGGATAACAAATACATCCTGTGGTAAAATAATTGCTGAATTGTTTGCTGAACCGGTTCTTTGAAACGGACTGTTCAAAAGAACTAATTGCAAAATGATTCTGTTTTTCCATCACTGGAGCAGCCCGATAACAGATGTGGATTAGCTGAGATTTGTTTTCTGTTGCAGGAGGCAGGATTGAAGGCGCTGGGAGCAGACGGACTCTTTCTCTTCTCATCCCTGGATACCGATCATGACCTCTATCTCAGTCCAGAGGAATTCAAACCTATTGCAGAAAAACTCACAGGTATTATTCTTGGTGTCTGTGCACTTGCATTAACGTCCTTTCACAAGTAGATATGTCTATTGAAGCAGAATTAAGATGCTTCAAGGCTATGTTCTCCATCAATGTAGAAAACAGAATTCCAGCTGAGAGTTTTAAAGCATTGTTGCAATGCCTGATGTCCATCTCTGTTGCCTGAAGGTGTGGCACCTCCCCCAGAGTTTGAAGAGGAGATACCACATGATCCGAATGGAGAGACGCTGACCCTGCATGCTAAAATGAAGCCGTTACTACTGGAAAGCATGACTAAGAGCAAAGATGGCTTTCTAGGGGTAATTTGAACATTACACATTAATACATTCATCTGAACTGCTAACAAGGTTCTAAACAGACAGGGTGATTATTTAAAAAATATTTTAAAAATATAAAAATGTAAAATACCAATAATAAGAAATTAAAATGTACATGAAATGTATTAAAATGCTAAGCTTAAAATAATAAAAAAAAAGTATAGAACGTGGACTATTACAAGTTGCATACCCAAAATGTGCTTATGAGGTAAATTGAGAGCAGTGTCTTTCTCATCAGGTTTCACACAGCTCTCTTAGTGGGCTGAGATCTTGGAAACGTCCAGCTGTTCCTTTATCCACATTTTATGCCAGTCAGTTCAAGGTCTTCCTGCCACCCAGTGGTAGATCGGCCCTGGGTGACACTTGGTGGATCATTCCCAGCGAACTGAACATCTTCACCGGCTACCTTCCCAACAACCGCTATCATCCTCCCACACCACGAGGCAAAGAGGTACAAATATACCTTTACATTTTTTAAATTAGTTCAAATTAGATGCTTGCGCTGAATCACATCAACAAAATCCTTTTCATTTTATATTACTTTGGTTTAACCACATTGTTGAAAAATGAGTGATCTGAGGTTGTCAAGATCTATTTGATCAAGAAGACTGATTCAGTTTCTGTTTAGTTGGTGGATAGATGATGTGATTATTTAATTTCTCTGCAGGTACTGATCCACTCTCTGCTGAGTATGTTCCACCCGCGGCCTTTTGTGAAATCCCGCTTTGCTCCACAGGGGGCTGTGGCTTGTATACGGGCTGCTAGTGATTTCTATTATGACGTTGTTTTCAGGCGAGTTAAAAGTAAACATGCCATCATGTTTGAATAAGGTTTTTGTCATCCAGAATAAAAGGGATTTTCTTAAAATCAAGTAGAAGTTTACTTTGTATGTCACTTAAAGAATATCTGATTGTAACAAGTTTTAACTTTATTTTAATTTTGAGCCTCCAACTGAATCTTATCTTATTGCGTTACTAATTACAGAATCCATGCTGAGTTCCAGCTAAATGATGTTCCAGGCTTTCCATTCTGGTTCACTCCTGGGCAGTTTGCTGGTAACATCATCCTCTCCAAAGATGCTTCTCACGTCCGAGAGTTTCACCTCTACGTCCCAAATGACAAGTCAGTCTTCCCTCCACTATTCCCAACTGCAAACACTTTTAAGGTGCTGAGTGTATGGCTGCGTAATCAATCGTGATCATGATTTCGTGATTCATGATTATTTTAGCATTATTGCCTGCAATATTTGTCCTCTGGTTCCACATGCTTCCATATTGTTAGAAAAACATTTAATTAAACAAATAATTTGGAATAATAACTAGAAATTTAACTGTTTTAGTTCTTAATAATGTAGAGACCGTGTTAAATAATATGACACGCATAATATGACTTGACATTCTTTTCATTTGTAAAAGTGCAATAATTATTCAGATTAAATGTAAAAAGAAATTGATGAATATTTGTGATTAATAATTGCAGTTAACTTTTTTTGAGCAAAATAATTTTGATTATCAGTTTAACCATTATTCTGTGTGTTTTATGTGGCAGATCTCTGAATGTGGACATGGAGTGGCTTTATGGGGCCAGTGAAAGCGGCAACATGGAGGTGGATATTGGATACCTGCCTCAGGTTTGTGC